AACATATGCTAGATAAGTTGGCGGTTCATTCCGTTGTGGCCACCCCAGATTAATAAAGGGAATAAGCCGAAAAGAAAATGAACGATTGAATGAAATGATTTCTATGAGTCAATTGAACTTATATTACACTAAACAGCTTGTGTAATTAAGTTAGAGCAAGATTAACTTGGTTTAGTAAGTTGCATTGACCTGCAACTGATCATATAACTTCATACAGTGTAGGTTTGTGTTGAACTGAAGACAGAAACAGTAACTATTGACTGCATCTTCATATTTGGGTGATCTGTCCCTTTAACACTTGGTCTGATTGTGTGTTGTATGATTTGTTCTGCATGTAATTCAGGATATGATGAAAGCGTGGTGTGAGATTATCTCTTATCTGCACACTGAGACTCATGATCAGTTGGAAACCTGATTTTCAGCCCGGGCTGCGTGTCACTGATGTTGATGCAGACGATCTGAGATTTCAGTCAGAGCCGAAAAACTATAGTTTGTTCTTAATGACAGGCACAGATGAAGTGTTCAGCACAAAACTAGCAATGTGAGCTGACAACATCAACATGGTTGGTTTTGATTTCTTGTGTAGTATAAAGTGAAGCGTGAGTAACTCACAGCATTGTCGCTGGTCTTCCCGGACAGGATGGCTCTGGCCTTGGCTTTGGTCAGAGGGAAGTATTTGAGATAGGACTCGTAGAGATGTCGGGCCAGCGCGCGCAGGTCTGCAGACTCCGGGTGCATGTGGTTCACGTCACTGGAGAACTCGGCCAGCAGCTTCTCCTTCTCAGCCTGCGGCATTCGACCGAAGCGAATCGCTGGGAAAAAACAAACAAACAGACGGATGAGAATCCCCAAACACAGATCTGAGTCTGCGGGGACGCGAGCGTGTGTGTGGGAGTTGAAGACGGGAGTTTGTTTTCAGTGTGAACACAGGGCATCATGACCACCGCCAGCATTCCTCCTCATCTTTGGTATTCTGATGCTAAATATTTCATGTTTTTTTTTTTGTTAAATAAAATTATTCTGTTCATCAAGGCAGCATTTATTTTGTGTAAAAAAAAAAAAGGCAAATTGTTAAATACTTATTTATTAAATATTTATTTATTACTTACTGTATGCAGTTTCAAATGAAATGACTCCAGTAATAGTAATAATTATAATAATAATAATTAATAATAATAATAGTAATAATTATAATACATTTTAATAAAAATAATATTAATAATAGTTAAAAATAATAAGTATATTATTAATAATAACCATCATTAATAAATAATATTAATAATAATAGCAATAATTGATAACAATAATAACAATAATAATAATTATTATTAATAAAAATAATATTAGTAGTAGTAGTAATAATAATAATAATAATAATAATATCAATAATAATATTATTAATAATAATAATAATAATAATAATAAATGTTATTATTATTATTATTATTATTATTATTATTATTATTATTATTATTATTATTATTATTATTATTA